TTTTTTTTTTTTTTTTTTTTTTTTTTTTTTTTTTTTGTTCCAAGTAATATCGTGTGGTCAGGAACCCCTCTACCCTGTCCTTGTTTTTCCTGCCATCTTCAGCAGAATAGAACGCCCCATCTGTAAATCACTGTACCTAGACTGAAAGGTGAAATTTTTACCAAGGGGGTGGAGGACTGGATGATGTTTAGACTTTTGAACTTTGGATGGCCTGGATCATCTCGATCAAGATGTCTGGGTCTGAGTAGCACGGCGAACATGTTCGCGCGTTTGCGCGTACAGCTCGCGAACGTGTTTGGCAGAACATATTTTTTTTGTCGTTAAAAAAAATAAAAATAAAAATATATATTTTTTCGTTTTTGATTTTTAACTCACGTTTGGCTACAAATTTGGACATGACTCCAAGGCAAAACTTGCTTGTATTGTTGTTTTACATGACATTTTTTTTTCAGATTTTTCTGAGACTTTTTTTTTCTAAATAATTTTTTTTATGTTAGTGTTCGGAGGGTTTTGGGCGCTAGTTCGCGTTCGGGTGAACATGTTTGGGTTCGCCTCCAAACTCGAACACGGTGCTATGCAGGTCTGGGTCCGGATCCTGCCTCGGTCAATTAAAAATTCTAAGTTCATTAATAATTCAAAAAATTCCGAAGAATTGGGAAAACTTGTGGAAAAGTTGTATGTGAAATGCATGATGGGAATCCTTTTTTGTTGTTGTTGTTTTTTCGTTTGTAATTGGAATCCTTTTCTTACAAACAACTTTTTTTTTTTTTTTTCTTACAAACAACTTTTGGCTGATGGTCATCTCCAAATTCATTCCCACATACTATAATGACAATGACAATAAGAAAGGCCTGAAAGGCTGTCCTGTCCGGATTCGACGGGTAATTGAATTGGTTGGGCTTAAAGAATTAGCCTTACCAAAAAAAAAAAAAATCATACGCAGACACCAGGGGGCGTGTAGCTCAGTCGGTACACACCCACGAACTGTTGAAATATGAATCAGACCCGAGTTCGAATCCAGATACAGTCAGATGACCAGAATAAAATACTTGTGAATTACCTGAAGCCTGTCAGTTCGACGATGAAATCTCAAGGCTGGCAGCCTGAAAAAAAAAACGAAAAAAACAAGGTTGGCACCCTTAAAAAGCGAAGGCTTCAGAGGCGTGCCTAGGGCGAACAGCTGTGCAGGTCGCCTGGCCGTCTGCCTGGCCGGGGGACCCCTGGCATTAATAAACTCCGGGAATGTATATATGTATATATAGTCAAACAGAGCTGCCTGCGGTAAACTGTGGGCAGAGAGGGGGGGAGAAGAGGACAACAAACGAGGGGCCGCGACAAACTGTTTTGTCGGAGTTTCACCGGCTCGTCAGGAGGCTGAACCCTATCATCAAACATATATAGTACGTGGCCATGCTGTGCCTCTAGTGCCAGCGGCTTGTCTGGCCTGTATTTTCTGGCTGTGATAAACCTTTCTTTGTTCCGTGGGTGTTTTGCTGGCTTGTGATGGGCGTGTCTGGCGTGTATTTTCTGGCTGTGATAAACCTTTCTTTGTTCCGTGGGTGTTTTGCTGGCTTGTGATGGGGTGTGAACCGACAGTCTGTAGAGTTTTCCATCTGGTGTGGGTGAGTGATAGTCTGCTTTGATTTTCGTTACAGGTACCTTGAGGGCGCTGGTTGGTGGTCCCCACCACCTCAGAGGGGTATAAGTTGTCGGGCAGTTTCTTTGATGCTTAACCACAACCGGTTGGGGTTAAGGTGGATTATCACTTACAGTGTGTAATCATCAGGTTAGGGGATTCTGCAGACTGTTTTTTAGAGGGTTCAGCCTCCTCTTGATGAGTCAGTTGGTGAAGCTCTGACGAAACAGTTTGTCACAGCCCCTCGTTTGTTGTCCTGTTCTCCCTCCCTCTCTGCCTACAGTTTTACCATGCAGTTCTGTTTGACGATACATATATCTATACATTCTTTTTTTTTTTCTTTCCTTCCTTTTTTTATCTTTTTTGGGCCCGGACGGGCAAGTGGTTCCCCGCCACGCTGGTAGCCTAGTTCTTATGTTTTGTTTTTCTATAGTTCTTCACCAGGCTACCAGCCGGGCCGCCCGGGTCACTGTATTTTCCCGGGCGGCCCGGCCGTGCAAGGACTAGGGAAGGTCCCAGCCAAAAAAAAAAAAAAATTCCGAAAAAAAACTTTGTTATGCAGCAAAATAAACTGAACAACTTTTGCCTCAGGGTCACATCGAAATTCTTTTACCAAATTTAAAATAAAAATTTAAGTTAAAAAATAATTTTTCATTTTTTATTTTTTATTTTCTATTTTGGTCCGGCCGGGCAAGGGGACCCGGGCCACTCTGGTAGCCTAGGAACTTCTTCATCTTCATCATATGATATATGGTTTTCTCACCATGTTTTCTTATTTATTTATAGGGAAAATTTTCGAAATGCCCCTGAAGTTTGCGTTTATTTGCAGCGTGCCACTCTGATGGCCAACTTACCTTGTCGCGCCCCTCTGACGACCAATGATGTTTCCAGAAAAACCCTGGCGTCGTTTGGGCCTCAAACATGTTTCATATGCCCCTACCGGTACCGGTACCAAATTTTCAGTATGCCCCTACCGGCTGCCTGTTGAGAACCAGCAGAAAAGTTTCCCATATGCCCTTACCAATACCGTCCATCTTTCCAGCAAGCCCCTGTTGCCGCTTATGACACTCACAGTCCATACGAGGATGTGAACACACACACACACACACACACACACACACACACAC